ATCATTGCTTCTAAGGAGCATTCTGGCTGTACTTCTTCCAAGACAGATTTGTTTGTTCTTCTGGCAGTCCATGGTATATTCAATATTCTTCACCACCACCGTAATTCAAAGGCATCGATTCTTCTTCGGTCTTCTTTATTCATTGTCCAGCTTTCACATGCATATGAGATGATTAAAAATACCATGGCTTGAGTCAGGTGCACCTTATTCCTTAAAGTGACATCTTTGCTTTTTAATACTTTAAAGAGATCTTTTGCATCAAATTTACCTAATGCAATGCATCTTTTGATTTCTTACTGCTGCTTCCATGGGTGTTGATTGTGGATCCAAGTAAAATGAAATCCTTGACAACTTCGATTTCTTTTCTCCATTTATCATGATGTTGCTTATTGGTCCAGTTGTGAGGATTTTTGTTTCTTTTATGTTAAGGTATAATCCATTCTCAAAGTTGTAGTCTTTGATCTTCATCAATAAGTTCTTCAAGTCCTCTTCACTTTCAGTAAGCAAGGTTGTGTCATCTGCGTATCGCAGGTTGTTAATAAGTTTTTCTCCAATCTTAATGCCACATTCTTCTTCATATAATCCTGTTCCTCAGATTATTTGCTCAGCATTATTTGTTCTCAGGATTATTTATTGCTCAGGATTATTTATTCTTTAGGGGACATTAACTTTTTTTTTATTACAGAAATAAAACATGATGGTAAAAATCAAACAATTATAATGGTATAATGAACATCCTTGCACATGTACCCTTGTACACATGTGTATTTATTTATATGTTTATTTATTTATATATTTATATATTTATTTATTTATATGTTTTATTTATTTATATGGAATTATTGGGTCGAGGTATGTTGTTGACATTATTTTTATTTTTACTTTTAATTTAACCCTTTCATGACCCATGAAACATACAGTATCCTGCTCACTTTTTCCGACTCTCAGGTTTCTTGGGACTCTACTTTTCCCACTAAAAATATTTGCTGCCCTCCAGTGGGGACTTTTGTAATGGTAAAAGGCAAAAGAAATGTTCATTGAAGCAAAATAGCTGGGGTGTCGGTCTTAAATGTAAGGTAGCGCATCCAGGAAGTGTTATTGGCTAAAAATTTTGTCTGTTTTTGCTTTTTTACAGCTAGATAAGCCATGTAAGCATGTTTATGATTTCCTTATGATAGTAAGGGAGCCCTGATGGGTTTGGTTTGTGTGTGTGTTGCAATACATCCTGCCACCCATGACCTGTGGGACAGATGGGCACTGACTAATCCTGGCACCCACGAACCCCCTGAGATTTGTAGAAACCATGTATTTCCAAATAATATTTCTCAAAATTTATATTACCAGCCAAAAGTTTAAACACATTCCATGACTCAGCATGCTTCCATTAATGAAAACACATGGTATAAAAAATAAAAATTCAAAGCAGAAAATAATAGGATTTTTTGTTATGCTACTAGGGTTATACTGCCAAATTTCCCTCCTAAGAGGTTTTGTATCTACACTCTTACCAACTCTGCACTAAATACCCTTCTCAGAGGAAGTTGATTTAAAGGTCATGTGCAATGGGGAATTTGTGTACTTCAGGTTCAGAAATCAAAACAATACAACCACATTTTGAAATTAGTTTTAGATGATCAAATTATATTTCATTTAATCAGTTCACTGACAGTGTAGGCGTTAATATCATTCATTTACTGATCACTAGTCTAAACACTAGAGAAACAAGTGAACAAAAAAGACTAGGACCCTGTTCTCATGAAGCCTACATTCTAGTGATTGGAAGCAGACAGAAAACAAAACAAATATATAAGCCAACATATAATTCAGTATCATGAGTGAGAAGTGCTATGAAGAAAAATAAAGTAGGAAAGGGGATTTAGGGTGATAGTGGGGTTCTGGGGGTGCTATTCACTGAAGACGTCTCTAATGAGAAGCTACTGAACACAATTCTTACTTGAGGGAGGGAACCATACTAGTATTTGGGGAAGAGCATTCCAGAACAAAGGAATAACAAATACAAGCTGAGGCAGATATATATTAGGTGAGTTCAAGGAATTGCAAGAAGCCAGAATAGTTGGACCTCACTATGCTTACATAGTTAAACTGAAGCAGGGAGACTGAGATAGGAGATTACATCCAAGAGGTTTTTCAAGGCTTGTAAGTCATTGTTGGGGTCGTGGATTGAATTATGTCACCCAAAAAATGTGTGTATCATTTTGGCCAGGCCATGATTCCTGGTATTGTGTGGTTTCCCTGTATGTTGTACATCCTGCCTCTATGATGTTAATGAGGGAGGATGGGTGGTGGTTGTGTTAGTAAGGCAGGACTCAGTCTACAAGATTGGATTGTATCCTGAGGCAATGTCTTGAGATATAAAAGACAGAAGTAAGCAGAAAGACAGGGGGACCTCATACCATCAAGAAAGCAGTGCTGGGAGCAGAGCACGTCCTTTGGACCGGGATCCCTGCACAGAGAAGCTCCTAGTCCGGGGGAACACCGAAGAGAAGAAGGCCGACAGAGAGAAAAAGCCTTCCCCTGGAGCTGACGCCCTGGGTTTGGACTTTTAGCCTACTTTGACCATGAGGAAATAAACTTATCTTCGTTAAAACCACCCACTTGTGGTATTTCTGTTATAGCAGCACTAGATAACTAAGACAGTTGGAATTTTGAATTTTGTTTTAGTGGAATGGGTTTTGAGCCATGGAGTGATATGATACAATTGATGTTTTGAAAGTATTTATATGCTGTGTGGAGAATAGAGTAAAAGGGGGCAGCCTGACCCAAGG